GCTCTTGGAGTATCCGAGAGAATAATCTTACGGAAGATATACGCATGTCGACGATGGTACCATAGACGCCAGGAGGAACTAGCAAAATATTCCTTATCAGATGGATTCTGGCAACGGTTCGATCAAAAAATTACATTACCTTAGCCATCGCTTCGTCTGGAATTGCTGCGACATTATTACCAGGTGCAAACATTGCCAATTCAGCTCTTTAGCTGCCATTGAACATATAAATCATCGAAACTCCCACGTGCAATATTTCCAGAGCATCCGGTATGAAAAAAGTTTACCAAAAAATTAAATTCATTGTTTGGGATGAGTGCACCATGGCACATAAAAAATCGTTTGAGGCTTTTGATCCATTGTTGCGGGATTTGCGTGGAAACGTTCAACCATTCGGGATATTGCTCGCAGGAGATTTTACGAAAACATTGTCTGTAGTTTCTCGTTTAACACGAGAGATAAATACTTGCCTGAAATAGTCAACATTGCGACAAGACGAACATACATACACTGCAGCTGAAGTATTCGCGCGACAATAACTGGACATTGGGAACGCAAAGCTGCCAGTCAATGAGAGATTAAGACGAATTTTATGGCCTGATAATTTTTGGAAATTAGAAACATCGAAAGGAGAACTGATCGAAAGAATGTTTCTTTATTAAGAAAATTAATTTTAGGAATCACAATTGGCTCAGTGAACGGGCTATTCTTGCTGCGAAGAATAAGGAGGCCTATCAACTAAATAATAGTGGTATTGACAACAGTCGTTGCTTGAGCTGATCAGCTCTTTTACTAGACTGCCAGACCACTTGCTCAATGTGGTCAGTACCACTAATGTTATTCAATCCAGCATTCAACGTGAGGAAATAGCATATACGTCGATAAACACCGTTGTGGAAAAAGACCATACAACGAAATTTTTGAACTCGATTAATCTTCCAGGGAGACCTCACATACTGAAATTAAAAATAGGTTTGACAGTTATCATGTTGCGGAATATTAATCAGCGAAAACTCTGCAACGGAATGCGACTCGTAGTTAAGAAATTGATGAAGAACGTAATGTAAGAAAAGATTTTAACGTGGCCATTCAAAGGTGAAGAATTCCCAAGATTCCGTTTAATGATGATGATTCAATTTAAAAGATTTGAATTCCCAATTCGATTGACATTCGGAATTACAATCAATAATGCTCCAGGTCGAACTTTGGAAAAGTATGGTTTGGATTTAGATGCGGATTGCTTCTCAGATGTTGCGTGTTCCTGTGTCGGCAAACCAGATATCCTTGATATCTATGCAGAGAATGGAAAAATAACAAATATTGTGTGCACACGAGTACTTATTACATAACCAAACACATATGAAACGTATGCTTTGTTTCGTTAATAATTTATCGTCCATATAACAGAAATATGCCACAGCAAAGCGTGGCAGGGTACAGCTAGTATCATGAATAAAAATCATAAAAACGAAAATATGATGGCAATATTTCTTGTTTAAAATGTTTTAGATCCATTGCGCACCACGGACTTTATCGCCCGCCGTTTTAGTTGGGCTCGCTAGTCTTTCCATTGCACCACAGCTAAATGATCGGAGCGATTAAGTTGGTGTAGTGTGCGCACCTCCATAAATCTTCAAGTACATATTTCAAGCGAGCCCTACTATTTAAATAGGCTGTGGTATGCGGTGGCTCTTATAGCTATCTATCCGTGTGCAGCGTTGCCGTTTTGCTTAAATTTAAGCGAAATTTGTTTATTAAAATAGTCAGAAGAGTAACTACTTCAATACATTTTTCAAATTTATTTTAGGAAGGCTGTAATCCAGATCCCAAATAAAGTTTCAGTAAATATTGCTCTACGGAATTCCCGATCTGCGGTCGTCGCATTACCTCCGAGTGTACTTCTGCCATGAAATCGCTTCTCATAAAAACCATTTGCCGTGCGGAGGCGACCTAAAACTTTAGGTCCCATTATTTGCGTGACCAGATCAACACGCACATTATGGACAACATGATACCAAACCCTTTTTTGCATGCATTCAAAGAACCAGCGAAAGGGCAGATAACTATTATAGGAGTATGTGTTGAAAGCCTGAAAGAATGTGTAATAGCTTTCGAATTTAGCATCTGTTAGACCCGATTTCAGATGGCCTACTTAAGTAGGGATTGTTGATTAACTTCCACTATCCATTTTCAAATCTTACATATAATCTGCACTTAAATGACCAATATTGGCTATTTAAATATGAGATATGCAATTCTGTGTTTATACCAAACAACCAAGATTGATTGGTAGGTTGTTTAATCAATCCCACCAAATCCCACCAAAAATAATCAGCTGTTCAGCAGAAAATGTAAACAAACAAGAAAATGCAACAACAATTTCAAGGAACAAGCAGCAGTGCTGCCAATTGTTTGGCATATTTGACCAATGTTGATCTGAAACCCAACGAAAGCTAAATAGGATTTAAACAATAATCCACAATTAAACTTAAGTGCCGTTTAAATATTCATTTGAAATTAGACTATAAAATCCTTACTTTTGACGACAAAACTCAGCCTTAGAGAGCCTTTACTTACTTACTTGCTTACTTTTTATATCTATTACCAATTTACCAAGCT